AGCGTATCAGGGCTTTAACCTAAACCACTTGGCAGATGCCAACTTCTAAATGAAGAAAACTGCAGTTTTCCTCCTACAGCCAGGAAAGACATTCAATCACAATGGAGTATTTACCTGTGTGACACCTTTTATGATAAATCAGCATGTGGTTCTGAGTGAATCTTGCACCACATTCATCACAGACAAAAGGTTTTTCCCCTGTGTGAATTCTGAAAGCACAACATTCAGAGGGTAACTCAGGATGTGTCAAAGCTCACTCTGCATTACCATCTCCTCCCTCACCTGGGGAGACACTTTGCTCCAAGAGCCCGAATGCGAAGGACTGAAAGGTGGCGAGGCCCAGGACTCTCACCTCCAAATCAGCCTCTGCCCGAGTCAAGACCGCCACATCCCCACCAGACGCCGAGTCCCCCCACGTGCTGCCCCCAGGTGCAGGCACAGGCTGTGCCTCTGCAGGCTGTTTACACCACCAAACAGCACCGTGTCGTATTTATAAAGCTCCCTCATTGAGAACAGTCACCCACAGACACCTTAGGAACCATGCTGACAAAAGTACCACGTGATCAAAATGTTTACCATCCTTTCCTAGTTTGACGTAAACAGTCTAGACTAGAAAGAACTGTTATCAACACATGAAGCCAGCCGGTCCCTGGGGTGCATGCGTAAGCACTGCACTTCAGGGCGAGGATGGAGTGGCTGTAACCATGTTTACTGAGCCCTTCCTGAGCCGGGCTATAAATGACAATAAAAGGACAAGAAAACACCCAGCTCCCACCCCTGGACTGGCCCAGGATGATGGCAGATCTAGGGGAGAGTAAAAAACTGCTTTGTCTGGATTTCAAGCATAAGTACTGAGCACTGCAAGGGAATTTATTTAAAAACTGAATGTCACCCACCTACACTTCAAAAATCAGTAACTGGAGTCCCTGTCCGTCCTAATCCTGGAGCTTAGATTGACTGGCAACAGGCACTCTGCAAGCCCAGAGAAGTGTCGCCCTGCTGAGGTCTTCAGTGGGACTCGCCACCCAGCCCGTCACAGGACTGAGTCCCAAATGAAGGGTCAGGAAGTGGGATGGGGTCGTTGGCCCCACTCGGCAAGGGTGGCGGGAGGCCTCAGCACCAGGAGCGGGAGAGGCCCCTGTGCCTCAGCGGGAGGCACGGGTCCCCATCAGACGGGCCCGCGCCCAGGGAGCGCCATGCCCGCATCTCTGCCTCGAGAGAGAACCCTGAGGCTCAACGCAGCCCCCGACTTTGAGAGGGAGCGAACTGAAAAGTGACCCATCCCGCAAGGCAGCCACACCGGCCGCCTCCTGCACGCCCCCCACGTCTCCACGTGCGTTCTGGGGTTCGAGGTGGCCCGTGCCTACCTCAGGTGGGTCTTGAGGGCTGAGGGCTGCGAGAAGGTGGCCGGGCACTCGGTGCAGCCATAGGGCTTGTGGCCCGTGTGCGTGCGCTCGTGCAGCCGCAGCGCCGTTTTGGAGCTCAGGCCCTTGCCGCACTGCTGGCACTGGTGCCGCTCGCCGCCGCCCTCGTGCACCTGCACCACGTGCCGCTTCACATCCTTCTTCCTCTTGAACTTCTTGCCACACAACTCGCACGGGAAGTGGCGCTCGCTGCTGTGCACGTGGCGCTGGTGGCCCTTCAGGTTGCAGCGGTTGGCAAAGGTCTGGCCGCAGGTGTCGCAGCGGTGGACCACCTCGGTGGCCACGCCGTGGTGGTGCCGCACGTGCTTCAGGAAGCTCTTCTCGTACAGAAAGGCCTTCTCGCAGCGCGTGCACCGGAAGCTGCTCCTCCGCCTCCCCGCGCCCTCCTCCTCCTCGTCCTCGTCCTCGTCCTCGTCCTCCTCCCCCTGCCCCTGACCCACCTTCGGCAGCACTGCCTCCGCCTCGGCCCCAGCCCCGCCATCCTCATCTTTCGTGACTGTGACCAGCTCCTTCACCGTCCCCCCGGCGTCTGCGCTGGGCTCACGGGGGCCCCCGCGGTCCCCGGCGTCCTGCTCGGCACTCTTCTGCTGCTCTCGGAGTCGTCGAGTGTACTTCTTTTTAGGGATTTCCACGAACACCTTCCTCCCAGCCAGCCTCCCGCTAGCCCTTCTGAGCTTGGGGTAGGGGGACAGCGTATCAGGGCTTTAACCTAAACCACTTGGCAGATGCCAACTTCTAAATGAAGAAAACTGCAGTTTTCCTCCTACAGCCAGGAAAGACATTCAATCACAATGGAGTATTTACCTGTGTGACACCTTTTATGATAAATCAGCATGTGGTTCTGAGTGAATCTTGCACCACATTCATCACAGACAAAAGGTTTTTCCCCTGTGTGAATTCTGAAAGCACAACATTCAGAGGGTAACTCAGGATGTGTCAAAGCTCACTCTGCATTACCATCTCCTCCCTCACCTGGGGAGACACTTTGCTCCAAGAGCCCGAATGCGAAGGACTGAAAGGTGGCGAGGCCCAGGACTCTCACCTCCAAATCAGCCTCTGCCCGAGTCAAGACCGCCACATCCCCACCAGACGCCGAGTCCCCCCACGTGCTGCCCCCAGGTGCAGGCACAGGCTGTGCCTCTGCAGGCTGTTTACACCACCAAACAGCACCGTGTCGTATTTATAAAGCTCCCTCATTGAGAACAGTCACCCACAGACACCTTAGGAACCATGCTGACAAAAGTACCACGTGATCAAAATGTTTACCATCCTTTCCTAGTTTGACGTAAACAGTCTAGACTAGAAAGAACTGTTATCAACACATGAAGCCAGCCGGTCCCTGGGGTGCATGCGTAAGCACTGCACTTCAGGGCGAGGATGGAGTGGCTGTAACCATGTTTACTGAGCCCTTCCTGAGCCGGGCTATAAATGACAATAAAAGGACAAGAAAACACCCAGCTCCCACCCCTGGACTGGCCCAGGATGATGGCAGATCTAGGGGAGAGTAAAAAACTGCTTTGTCTGGATTTCAAGCATAAGTACTGAGCACTGCAAGGGAATTTATTTAAAAACTGAATGTCACCCACCTACACTTCAAAAATCAGTAACTGGAGTCCCTGTCCGTCCTAATCCTGGAGCTTAGATTGACTGGCAACAGGCACTCTGCAAGCCCAGAGAAGTGTCGCCCTGCTGAGGTCTTCAGTGGGACTCGCCACCCAGCCCGTCACAGGACTGAGTCCCAAATGAAGGGTCAGGAAGTGGGATGGGGTCGTTGGCCCCACTCGGCAAGGGTGGCGGGAGGCCTCAGCACCAGGAGCGGGAGAGGCCCCTGTGCCTCAGCGGGAGGCACGGGTCCCCATCAGACGGGCCCGCGCCCAGGGAGCGCCATGCCCGCATCTCTGCCTCGAGAGAGAACCCTGAGGCTCAACGCAGCCCCCGACTTTGAGAGGGAGCGAACTGAAAAGTGACCCATCCCGCAAGGCAGCCACACCGGCCGCCTCCTGCACGCCCCCCACGTCTCCACGTGCGTTCTGGGGTTCGAGGTGGCCCGTGCCTACCTCAGGTGGGTCTTGAGGGCTGAGGGCTGCGAGAAGGTGGCCGGGCACTCGGTGCAGCCATAGGGCTTGTGGCCCGTGTGCGTGCGCTCGTGCAGCCGCAGCGCCGTTTTGGAGCTCAGGCCCTTGCCGCACTGCTGGCACTGGTGCCGCTCGCCGCCGCCCTCGTGCACCTGCACCACGTGCCGCTTCACATCCTTCTTCCTCTTGAACTTCTTGCCACACAACTCGCACGGGAAGTGGCGCTCGCTGCTGTGCACGTGGCGCTGGTGGCCCTTCAGGTTGCAGCGGTTGGCAAAGGTCTGGCCGCAGGTGTCGCAGCGGTGGACCACCTCGGTGGCCACGCCGTGGTGGTGCCGCACGTGCTTCAGGAAGCTCTTCTCGTACAGAAAGGCCTTCTCGCAGCGCGTGCACCGGAAGCTGCTCCTCCGCCTCCCCGCGCCCTCCTCCTCCTCGTCCTCGTCCTCGTCCTCGTCCTCCTCCCCCTGCCCCTGACCCACCTTCGGCAGCACTGCCTCCGCCTCGGCCCCAGCCCCGCCATCCTCATCTTTCGTGACTGTGACCAGCTCCTTCACCGTCCCCCCGGCGTCTGCGCTGGGCTCACGGGGGCCCCCGCGGTCCCCGGCGTCCTGCTCGGCACTCTTCTGCTGCTCTCGGAGTCGTCGAGTGTACTTCTTTTTAGGGATTTCCACGAACACCTTCCTCCCAGCCAGCCTCCCGCTAGCCCTTCTGAGCTTGGGGTAGGGGGACTTAGCGATCTCTTTTCTCTTGTCTGGCTTCTCCCTGGACTTTCTCGAGGGCAGGTCTGGCAACAGGCTGCTGCCAATTCTTGCTGCTGGGGGATCCAAGGAACCAGCGACGCCGTTGGCCAGAGGGCTGTCCGCAGCCACACCTGCCCGAGCATCAGGGGAGACAGCAGCAGAGACCTGGGAGCCGCTGCTCCCTTCTGCCTCCTGAGACTCCGAGAAATTCTGCAACTCCAAAAGTACCGACTCTAACATCTGTTTCTTCAACTGAAAACAAGTTTCAGATAAGTCCAAACATTTCAGCTTTTCTGCCATTTCCAGCATTCGCTGCACCCGATCTTCCTCCACCTGGACCTTTGCAGTGTAGACGAACTCAAGAAAAGAAGCGAAGTCAGCCACCTGCACTTCGTCTAAGTAGACGTTAGTCCTCGAGCCATCCGCAGTCTTCTCGTTAAGAAACACTTCCTTAAAAAACTTGCTGGTGGCTGCCAGCACCGCCTTGTGGGCCATGAATTCCTCCCGGACACCCTGGTACTCCACGCTGACAGTCACGTCGCACAGGTGACCCAGCAGGCGGAGCTGGTGCATTTCATGCAGAAGGTTAAGCGGGGAGGACTTGGATTCCAGCAGAACTGCACCACTCTCCATGTTTCTTCTTCCCAGGAACAGTTCTGAAAACAAACCAAGAATTATTCATGCATGAGCAACCTCCGAAGTAGAAGGATTAAAAATTATGAGGATTATATCAGTTCTTTAAAGAATACAAACTGATTAACGACCTAAACCTAACTTTTCTCATGTACAGATTCAAGTCACGCGTCACTTCTTAGCATTTTTCTGAAGCCCTGATGCACCTTCATGAGATATTTGCATGAAAACGGGCTAAGACTGCCCTAAAGATAAAGTGATGATTAATGAAATACATTAAAGCAGTAACTGGCTTCTCTACGTCATTTTGTAATTTACATACAGACCCAGACCCCCAAACTAACAGAATTTATAGCAACAATAAATAATGTCTACTACTTTGATCAGGAAACCAAATAAAACAAAATATAATACATGGCGGCCACGGATGAGAGCAAACCTTGTCTACCTTTGAAAACAACCAACTAAACTACTTTATATGAAGAAAATTTCACGGAAAGTAGCCCACAATTCACAGTCATTCTCCAACCTCGTTAAGTCCCTCCTACTGGAGTCACCGTCACTGCACCGAAGCGATGCGGGGCAATGCGCCGGGGGCACAGCTGCGCTACGCCGAGCAGGGCCCCCAACACCTCCGAGTCGCAGTGGCTCCCGTGCTGGAGGCTGACAGGCCGTCATGAGGGCTGCAGCCGCGCCGGCCGTCCCGGCGACCCTCGAGCAGGCGTCACGGGGGAGGCCCTGACAAGGTCACAGGGCGGCCGGGCCGGACTCGGGCCTCCCCGCGCACCACCTTCCCGCCGCCAGGCCCGGACCGCCCGGGGGTCCGTCCTCCTGGACCCGGCGCGGACGCTCCCCCCGGCGCACCCGCCTTTAGCTCCCGCATCCGCCGCCCGCCTCCAGGCTCGGCCGGGTCCCTGAGGCCGGCCTCACCTGCCCGATCCAGCTCCTCAGCGCCCGCTGGTCGGCGGGGCAATGGCCGCAGGTGGCCGCTTCTGCCCTCGTCCGCCGACACCTAGGCCAGCCCCGACTCCCCGGCGGCCTCCCGGCCCGCGCGTGGCCCCTGAGCCCGACTCGGAACCCAGGCCTAGCGCCCTCTGCCTCGCGGGCCGCGCACGCACCGCCCCGCCGCCGCCGCCGCCGCCGCCGCCGCCGCCGCCGCCGCCGAGCTTCCGAGGACTAGGCCCCGGAACGGACAGACTGCCCGACGGATGGGGGTGCGGGGCGCGGCGCCGGCGAAGGCGACGCCGATTGGCCGCGGTGGGCCCGGCCCCGTCCCTCGCCGGTAGGGGAGGACCTGCGCATGCACGTCCCACTGCGGAGGCCATTTGGGGAAGTTACGTGATCCGACACACGCTGCCGCCGTACGCCTGGCCGGCTGCGCAGGATTGCGTCACCCGCCGCGACCCACGGTCCGCGCCTGCGCAGAACACTGTGCCGGCGGCTCTGCGCTTCTCGCTACGCGGCGGGGGCAGGGCCGGCCCACCCCCGAAAGTCACGTGACCTGCGGGGCACGCACACCGTCTCACGTGGGTCCCGCCCCGGTTCCAGCCCATGGGCAGTACAGCAGGTGGGCGGGTCGCCGGATGGGGTGGAGCCCCTGGAGGAGCGGGGCAGAGAGAGAGGGCAGGGAGGTGGAGGGGCGGGGCGCTGGAGGAGGCAGGAGGGGGCGGGGCGGCGGGAGGAGGTTGCAGGAAAGGGCGCGGCTCGGGTAGAGGGCGCGGCGCCTCCACGTGCCGCAAGAAGCGGTTGTTGGATACCCAGCGGCGCCTTGCAGAGTCGGCGGCTGAGTTCGTTCTGGGCACGCGGCAGGCGGGTGGGCAGTCAGGAGCTGAACCGGAGGCCGTCTGTGCTCCGACAGCCTCCGAGCCTCGGGCTCCGGCCGCCGCTCCCGGGTGTGTGCAAGCCGTCGGCCGTTCGCCGGCGACCCCAGGGTACGGGCCCTCGCGTCCCAGAGGCTTCACATCGCTACTCCGAGCCTCCGTTTGTCCTCATTTCTCCCAAACGCCCAGCGGACCCTGGGCCGATCTCTCATCCGGTGTCTTCTGGTTCAGTTTATGCAGTGTAGACAACGTCCAGAAATGAGACAGATCCTCTGCGCAGTCATCATCTGGAACAGCGGTCCCCAACCCTTTTGGCACCAGGGACCGGTTTCGTGGAAGACAGGTGTTTTTGGTGGTGGGGGGGTGACGGTTCAGGCAGTAACGTCAGCGATGGGGAGCTGCATATGAAGCTTTGCCCGCCGCTCACCTCCTGCTGTGCGGCCAGGTTCCTAACAGGCCGTGGACCGGTAGTGGTCCACGGCCCGGGGGTTAGGGACCCCTGATCTAGAACAACCCCTCTCTTACTGTCTCTGTCATAGCCTGTAAAGCATCTGCCTGAAGCGGCTGGAATGCAGTGTGGACACGGGGAGCAGGGCCGGGGTGAGAGGGTCCAGGCAAGGAGGTCTCGGACAGCAGCCTCTTTCGAATGCTGCCGGGGGGAAGGAAAGGGAGCATTTGAAAATAACTGTACTTACCATCCTTCAGCGTCTGTGTTTAGGGCTATAAGCGCTTCCACAGAGTGGGAGGCCTTGCCCTGATGGACCCAGTGTCTCTGGTTGAAGGAGCCCGGGGCCAGGAAGCCTGGAGGCCTTGTGGCAGAAGATGGTGCTCAGCTTGCCTGGGCCTGGCTCCTCCTCGACGCAGGGCACATGCCACCCGCCCTCCCTGCCACCTATGGTGACACCTGGCACTGTGCCTACCTGACCTCCCTGGGTGTAGTCAGCGCACAAGCCAGACCTTGGGGAAGTGGGTTGGCCGCTATTCACAGTGGAGCGCAAACAGGACAAAGCAGTTCTACCATCTTTCCCGCCCTACTTTCTAGCTTCTGATTTGTACAAACGCATACAATCTCTACTTTCTGCTGCAGCTAAAAAACACGGCAGGACTCTGCTGGTTCCAGAACAGTGCTGCCCTCCTCACACACCTATGGGCTTTTCCTACCTCCAGGTGCACCCAGAAGTGGATCCTGCTGTCGCTCCCCATCTCAGGAGGATTTCCAGAAGCCATCTCAGTTCCTGGAGGCTGGGCTCAGCCCCAGGTGCACACGCTGAATTTAGTCTTTCTCCAGCCTAGGACTCTCCTGCCCTCCCTCACTTGGGTCCCCGACTTCCTCCTGCAAATGGATCTCCTCCCTGCAACTTCCCCCAAACTGGTCCCAAGTCTCAGGATAATAAGAACAGAATGTGCTTGATGGTTACAGAAGGTGGGTCACTACTACCCACCCCCAGTTACTGGTATTAGTCACTTCTCACAAAACTCTGTGTGGGGGGGGGGTAGTATTATTACCCTCATTATACAGATGAGGAGACTGAGGCACAGGGAGGTTAGCCAACTTACCCAAGATCACACAGAGAGCAAGACAGAGCCAGGGTACAACCTCCACAGCTCAGCTCTGTGCAGACCACATGCCTCCCCGGCTACAGCAAAATAGAGCTGTCTCTTGTCAGATCAGGTAAAGGTCAAAAGGGAACTAGAGAGGGTGTGATAAAATAGCATCCTAGAAATTCCATGTCTGGTTTGCATGAGTGCAGAAGTGAACACTGAGAAGTTGTGGTTTCTAAGATGCTGGGGGGACATGGGAGGACTTCTCACAAAAGCCCAGGGATTTATGGGCTTCCCTGGTGGTTCAGTGGTTGAGAGTCCGCCTGCTGATGCAGGGAACATAGGTTTGTGCCCCAGTCTGGGAAGATCCCACATGCCGCGGAGCGGCTGGGCCCATGAGCCATGGCCGCTGAGCCTGCGTGTCCGGAGCCTGTGCTCCGCAATGGGAGAGGCCACAACAGTGAGAGGCCCGCGTACCGCAAAA